CCGGCTCTTCCTCCTCCAACGCACCGTCCAACGCCTCTTCTTCAGCAGCCGCCAGGATCTGTTGATTATATGTTTCCGAACACTGGCGGTACGTTCTTTCCCATGAGGCAAAGTCGTTCCCATGTCATGCGCTGGATTTGAGCGGAGTCTTCCACCATCTCCCGGACGAGCTCTTGTTTCTCTTGCTCGGCCTTATCCGAGAGCTCTTGGGTAAGACTCTTCTCTTGGTTCACCAGGCGTTCTTTTACGTTGGCCAAAGATTTCTCCATGGCTTCGTAAGAGTGCATTTTTTGGCGAAGAGGTTTCAGCTCGGCCTTAAGGTTGGTGACGGTTCCCTCCAGCTCGTCAACCTTCTTTTGGGCCGCCTCTAACTGAGCCCGAACAGCGGCGGTAGCCTGCGCCTGATAATAAAGAAGATCAATGGTCAGTACTTCATTTTGAGCAATTTGAAACATTGCCTTATCACAGCTGGAGGCGGCCATAGCCTTTGCGGCCTTTACCTCTTTGTTTTTTCCGATCAATCGGCTTGCGAAGGCTGTTGACTCGGAGCAGGGCCTAAGTACAAAGAAAAACAGGCGTCAGTTTCCAAACAAAAAGGATAACAGGCGTCCCGGAACTCAAAAGCTCAAAAAAATGCTAAGTATACCTCAGCAAGGACCCCTGAAATCCCATCAAGGTCAAGGGTGCCGGCACCCCTGACCGCCTCCCTGTCAGATGGAGGAACTACTTTAACCATAGACTTGGCTACCTCAACCAAGTCAAGTCCCTGGGGGCCGGCTGCATTAAGTGAAAGGAAAAAACAAGTTAGACCTAGTCAAGAAGGAAGCAAGGGTGAGTTTTTACAAGTAAGTGTCCATACATCTAGGCGGCCCCGCCTGGGTTTTTGAAGAAGTGGCCGGCTGCTTCTCAGCCGCCACTGTTTTCCTGGAAGACCCAGGAGAGCTTGCAACAGTCGTCCTCCGGGCCTTGGGGTCCGGCTGTTGCGAGGAAGAAGCCCTTGGAGTGCCAGACTGAAAACAAAAAGAGTTAGTATATGCATAAGACAACTAAAAGAGGAAGAGTTTTCGAAGCTTACCAAGGGTGCCTCCTTGTTGGGGGAGTCGGCATACGACTGTTTCATGAGCGAGGCCCGCAACATGGCCGCCGCAGTCTTGGATGCTGATATTTTACTCATGGCGTCAGCTGCAAGAAATAAACAGCAAAGTTAGTAAAAATCCCAAGTAAACAAGGCGTGAAAAAACAGAGTATTTGTCAGGCCGGCTACCTCTAGAGCACCGACTGCTGAGGCCACAGGCGGCCAAAAAGTACTCGTCATAGAGCCACTTGAAGCTCGGGACGCAGTTTAGGGGTACTTGCTCTCGTACCCCTGAAGTAGAGTTCACCCTAGTCTCTACTTTGAAGAGTCCTTTGTCTAGGATCTCTTTTTTAGCCTTTGGGGGAACAGGCGGCATGCTGCGGCCGCCTGCGAGAAGAGGCGGATCCCTATTCCACTTTTTAAAGCGTTTGTTCAGCTCCGTGTCTGAACCCTCGATAATAAGGAAGGTGTTCCGCCAATCCTTCCATTTGTTCGCCTTACCTCTCGTCATGAGGTAACCCCTATGGCTTGTTAGTTGGTACCAGCCGGTACCTCCCGACTTAGGGGTCCGGCTGAGATAGTTCATGTGGGCGAAAGCCTCAAAGCTTGGCTCCACCCCGTACATTTCGCACCCGGCCACATAGCCGAGTACGTTTACCCAAGAGTTGGGGGCTAACTGCCATAACCCCAGATCATACCCATCTAAAATCCGCTGAACAGCCGGATGTAATGGGAAGCGCAGTCCAGCTTTGATGGCCGCCACATAGCAGCCAAAGCAGCCGTCACCATAGCTGGTACCAGCCGGCCAGACGACAGTGTCTTCTGGATCCGGCACAAACAGTAAAAATTCCGGGCCCATTTTGTGGTTAGCAATAAAGCTCGCCACGTTGTCTTGCATGGTTGCGATCCGGCCCCGGGGTACCATGCAGTAGTAGGGGGCGTTTTCCTCTCTGTAAGAGGCGGACGGCTCCGCCCAATTGTCCCCCTTCTCAACTGCGTGAGAAAGTCTCGCCTCTTGTAGGCGGCTATGTTTTTTCTTCTGAGCCTGGAGAACTGTGGCCAGAAGAGCTGGACTCGGACTCGTCCTCTGACGAGTCCGAAGAGGACGACTCCTCCCCTCTCCTAGAGGGGCCCGCCTCCTCTCCCTTAGAAGGAGCAGGAGGAAAATTAGACATGTCAACAGTAAGATGGGAAGGGAACACCTTGGCCCCTCTCTTAGAACTGTCGGCTTGACAGTCGCCTCGTTTCAATTCTACATCTGGCGCCTGGTCAGATGTTTCACTAAGGAGCACCCTTTGGGAGGAGCCGTCTGAGTTTGATATCATAGCAGTCTGTTTCGTTCTGGCCATCACGTTCTGCATAGACACAGATACAGTCGGACTTTGTATAAAGGGCAAAGATGGGTCCAGAAAAGGGCAGGCGGCACTCCTAGTCCTAGATTCAGCCGTCCCCGGTGACCGGCTGATCACTAACTTAGGTCGTGTCGTGTGCTTCCGTGGTGCCATTTCAAAAATAAAAAGAAAATTAAGAGTAAGAGAACTGAGTTACCTGAACGAGTGACGGTTGATGAAGTCCTGGAAGTCCGGGTCAGTCGGCTTGTCAGAACAGGCGGTAGGCAGAAAAGGTCCGAAATGTCAGAGCAAGTTCAGGGGTCCGAATGTTCTCGCAAAGTTCTCAAATGTGAAAATGACCGAAGTCAACACTTCCTTATATAGGCAAGGTGAGAAGGCGAAAGGTCGCTTCCAAATTCAAAATTTGGGCGGGAAAATCTCTCGGCCGTTTGCAAGGTGACACCTGTAACAGGTCGTCGCCTGTCACCGTGCGACACCTGTCACAGGCGACACGTGACCAGTCACGTGCCACCTGTGAGGGGCAAATGATTAGGGGATTTTTATCCACCAATCACCGTCTGACAAGTGGACCAACCAGGTTCCGCCACGTGTCCTTCACGAAGGCCAACAGGAGCCTGCCACGTGTCAATCACAGATACGTCCTCTACGGACCAATTTAGACACGCCACGTGTCCACCCATGCCAAATGGGAAAACCGGCCATCGAGGCCCAATCCAGTCTAGAGGCCCGATCAGCCCTAGGTTTACCTTAAACCTAGAGAGTTGCACGCTTCTCAAGGCTATAAATACTTAATTAATCCTCATTAGTTAGATGATGGAAAAGTAATCAAGCAGAGAAGAACAGAAATATTACTGAACACCAACAACCGGCTAATCTCGCTAACGACGCAGATTACCAACACTAAGCACTCTCACCTAGAGAGATCTCTTTACTTTAATTTCTGTATTAATTACTCCTTAATCAGGTACTAACTTGACCGTTGGAGGCGGAGCTCTCAGGAGTCTCCGTTATTTTGCAGGTACAGGCATCCGGTTCCAGTCTCGGAATTGTAACTCTCCCGCAGGACATCAGAAAACCCCTAAACATAACCCAAATCTCTTTATATCTATTATCAATTTATTTAAATACTTGTTATTTGATTAATCATATTTATTACATAACTTAAAATTGGGGTTTACCAACAAAAAATTATTTTTTTGGTTGATAATTTTCTTAATATATATGCAATGAATCTTTTAACCACTCCTCTTTTGTCATATAAGAATATTTGTCATATTTCATAAACGATTTTAATTACATATTAAGCAATTATGTTATCAAAAAAATTTGTCGATTTATTAAACATTTGAAATTTGTCCCCCCGGATTACAAATACTGACTCCGCCACTGATAGTTGTCATGTTTGGTGATGGCCGAAGACTTGTTAAATTCAGTTGTTTGTGGTAATTTTTCATGTATAGATATTTGTTTGAAGTGTTAAAATAATATATTGAATAATTTAATTTTATATAATTCTATCTTTTATTTTGTTGTATAGAGTTGGGTAATTTATCATGTATTCAAATGATTTGGTATAATGATGGAAATTATGAACTAGAAGCAATGTTCATTTTTTTTTTGTGAGTGTTTATGGAGTTTTTTTTTTAAAAAAAATGGTTTTAAAGTGTCAAATAAGTTGTCGACGTCGTTGTGCTTTAAAGTAGAATAACATTGTTTTTAGCACCGCTTCGCCAAGGGTTGTGTACGGAGTGTATTGTGATATTTTGTTATAATTAGCTTCGTACCCAAATTCAGACAATAAGAGTAACACCTTAGCTAGTATGATATATGGGTTATTTTATATTTTGGAGAATTTTTAAGTTAAACTCTTTAGAAGGATTTTTTGTTGAATTTTGGTCTTAGAAGTAAAGACCTGCAGTTGGGGTTGATGATCCTTAAATGTGTTTCAATGATTTTTAAGAAGTATGTTTATAAATTTTCTATAGTTATGTAAGTGTACCACAACCATTGGGCTGCGGAATTCAATGGTTGGAACATGCCAACATCTTTGGCTGCGGAATTCGAGTAGGAAAACTGGGAGTTTGGTCATTCTCAGACGCAGAGGGCTGCAGAATCGTCTTTAGGTTTGCCCTCACAAACCTTTAATGGTGGGCTGCGGATTTCACTAGCGTTCATATTTTATATGCTTTCCTCACTATAAATCTTATTTTCAAAACGGTTAAAATTTATTTATGTTATAGATACTATTGATTTTGAGCAGGAAACTTTATAAGTGTTAATAATCGTCTATATCAGTTACCATTTGTTTTAACTTGCTAAATTTTATTCGGAATTCTTGTGGTAATATTTTTACGTTGTTATATTTACATGCTTGATCTGTATTATAATCATGATTCCATGTTTTTCCCCCTCGAGTTTAACTGGTAATTATTATTTGAGTTGATGTTCTCACATGTTGTTAAGTTTTTGTGCTAGTGTCTAAGTTTTTCTGTACTTAGCTTTTTATTTCTACAAGTACTGGGAGAACTACTAGTTACTCCCCACTAATTGTGGAACCTTAACGTTATTTGCAGGTGAAGAGTAGTTCCTGATGAGTCTGGGCTGAGAGTAGAGTGTTTATTTTATTTATTGGTTTTATAGACTTGCTTTAATTATCTTTGGACCTTCTCTTTTGGGATTATCATATTTGAGGATTGTTTTCTCTTGTTGGAAGTGTTTATTGTTCATTTGGGATTTCTTTCACTTTACTTTATTTATCTCAGATATTTTAATCAATGTCTTATTTCTTTTTTTTTATTAACCTTTAGAGTGACATTTTCGTCTCAACGTTATTTCCGCTAATGTCATGCCTTATGTGTTGTATATTTGGAGTAACACTCGAAATACACAAGGGATAAACCAAGGGATAGTTAAGGCTAAAGAACCAAAGGCTTCTTAAAAAACTGTTTGAATTCCTAAGATCACAAGCCAACTAGTAGCCTAAACTAGCTAACTAAGCAAAGGAAATGAAATTCCAAATCCAAGAATTTCAAGGTTTTGTTTCTAATCCAAGAAACGAATGTAAGATATATTTTTTTTGTTTGAATAATCTGATTTTTTTCATTCACATTTGCTTGCTATTTATAGTAAACAAGCATCCTTAAGTACAAGCTAACTTAAGTGGCTGTTCAGCTCACTTGTTACACGCCTAAGCTAAAGCTAAGTACAAATCAGCTTTTTGTTGTCTAGATACATTATTAAAAGAAGCCTTATTTAACTAGATACATCAAAGAGAAAATGGTGGCTTATAACCTCCAAATTAAGGCTGAAATAAAATCAGAATTAAGAGAGTGTAACTCCCCTTAATTCACGCCCATCCAAGCAGCAAGTTGGAGATGTATTTCCTCCAATTTTCACGCCCAAATTCAAACAGCAAAGAAGTGTAACTCCTCCTTGGTTCAAGCCTTGAAATTAGCTTGAATGTATGTGGACAAGGGTGTACTTGGACGCCCTTTAGTTGCTCCAAAAGCTGACTGAATTAAACAACCAATTGAAGGCTGAAATTAAGGCTTAAGATGCTCCAATGTTGACTGATATCAACGGCCACTTGAAGGCTGAAGTTAAGGCTTGTAATGGCTTGTAATTCCTCTTTGACAACTGATTGTAACTCCCAAGTCAAAGCTTTGAAATTCCTTGTAAAAGAATTTGGGATTCCAAGCTTAAATGGCTGCCATTTTGATGTATCTTTGTACTTGTACTTTTGTGTGAATGTGACAATATTTTTCGAACTAAAATCAGCTAAAAAGAACTAAGAAAAAATATAACTAATCTGAAAACTTAAAATGACTAAAGTTTACAATTTATTCAAAGCATAAAAAGAACTAAAATAAACTAGTTAATAAGAACAACAAGAAATTCAAGGGGTTGAATATCTTGCTGCCCAAGGATAGAATGCATAGCACCAATACATGATGCTACGTCTTGAACCAAAGAAATTTCCATAACCAAGTTGTTAGGCTTGGCTACAAAATTCCCCCCTTCTTGAAAAGAGTTTTCCCTCAAACTCGGCAACTCCTCAAACTCATCATAGTAAGGTGATAAATCAGCCACATTAAAGGTGCTAGAAACACCATAATCTCCGGGCAACTCAACTTTGTAAGCATTATCATTCACTTTTTCAACAATAGCAAATGGACCATCACTACGAGGACTAACCTTGGACCGCCGTTTGGAAGGAAATCTTTCCTTTCGAAGATGAATCCAAACTAAGTCACCGGGCTGAAAACGGACCTTCTTTCTTTTCTTGTCATAGTATGCCATGAGGGTACTAAAATTCCGCACAAATCTTCTATAGAAAGAAGCAAGTCCATGAAAGCTTCGAACTTGTTGAATGGTTTGTGGCGTGGGCCACTCACGAATTGCAACAACTTTCTTTTCATCAACTTCAATGCCTTGTGATGAGACTTTAAAGCCAAGAAAAATAACTTGGGAAGTGAAGAAATGACACTTCTCTAAGTTACCATACAATTTCTCACGTTCAAGGGCTTCAAAAACCTGTTGCAAGTGCATAGAATGCTCTTCTTCCTCCCTACTATACACCAAAATATCATCAAAATAAACTACAACAAATTTACCCATGAAAGGTTGCATAACCTGATTCATAAGGCGCATAAATGTAGATGGTGCATTAGACAAACCAAATGGCATCACAAGCCACTCATAGAGGCCCTCCTTTGTCTTGAAAGCGGTCTTCCATTCATCTCCTTCGAAAATTCGAATTTGATGATAGCCACTTCTCAAATCAATTTTAGAGAACACTTTAGAACCATGCAAATCATCAAGTAAATCATTCAACCTTGGAATAGGAAACCGGTACTTGATAGTGATTTTATTGATTGACCTACTATCAACACACATTCTCCATTCTCCATTCTTCTCAGGCACAATCAAAGTAGGACAAGCACATGGACTAAGAGACTTACGAATAAGACCCTTGGATAGTAATTCTTCCACTTGCCTCCTAATCTCTTCGGTTTCTTTTGGAGTGGTTCTATAGGCTGGTTTGTTTGGGAGCATTGATCCAGGAACTAGATCAATTTTGTGTTGTATGTCATGTTTTGGGGGTAGGCCATGGGGAATGTCTTCGGGGAAAACATGGGAAAAGGTTTTGAGAAGAGGGGTGAGGAGTGGGTGTGGCTCTTTTTATGTCGGTTGGGAAGGGGTATCAAGTTGGCTTGAAATGAATTGTTTGTGAGTTTTATACTCATGCAATTCTGATTTTATGAGAGTGGTAAGGAAGTGGGGGGTGTGGATATGGGGTGGCCATTTTTAAGGTTTAGAGGGGTAAGGAGTATTTTCTGTCCATCCTTAGTGAAGGAATATGTGTTTTTATACCCATCATGCATCACACACCTATCAAACAGCCAAGGTCTACCAAGTAAAATATGACATGCATCCGTAGGTATAACATCACACCATAATTCTTCCTCATAAGTTTTACCAATGCTAAATGATAACAAGACTTGTTGTGTTACTTGAATCCCTTTACCATGATTTAGCCATTGAATCACATAAGGTTTAGGGTGAGGGACGGTTTTTATTTTCAGCTTGTCTATCATTACTTGTGAAGCTACATTGGTACAACTACCTCCATCAATAATCAAGGTACATACCTTACCACCAATGGTGCAACGAGTGTGAAAGATTGCCTCACGTTGCAAACTCCCTTCTTTGCCAATCATATTACTTAGTGTACGTCAAACCACCAAGCATTCTCCTTCATCCGGTACAAGACACGCATAATCATCATTCTCCTCAAGGTTGCTGTCCACTTTAATTTCTAATTCGTCCTCCTCTTCATGCTCAATCAAAGTGACAATCCTTTTATTTGGACAATCACTAGCCAAATGTCCAAGGCCTTGACACCGAAAACATCTTCTTGGGGCTGGTTTTGGGTTGGAATTTTGGGTGTTTTGTGAAGGTGGTTTAGAAGTAGGCTGATTGGATGTGGGTTTAAAGGTGGGAAATTGGATGTTTGCTTTTTTTGGGGAAATGAGGTTTGGGATGCAAAACGTGATGATTCACTTTTGCCTCTTGCTTTTTGTTGCTGCTCAATCTTATGTGCTAAGATAATGAGCTCTTCAAGGGTGGTGTAAGGGTGTAGTTCGGCCACATTGGCTATTTTTGGGTCTAGTCCTCCCAAAAAGTGCACCAATGTTTGAGGTTCATCTTCCTCTACTCCACATTTCATGAAATATCCTTCAAATTCCCTAGCATATTCTTCTACTGATTTTGTACCTTGTTTGAGGTTGTGGAACTTGGAAAAGTTTTCTTGCACATAGTATGTGGGAAGAAACTTTTGTTTCAGCATCTTTTTCATCTTGGTCCACGATCTCACTTTCTCTTTGTCTTGCCTTTCCCTTTTGGCACACACACTAGCCCACCAAGTTGAGGCATATTTTCTTAACTTCAAGGCTACAATCTTCAACTTTTTCTCTTCCGGTGTTTTCTTGTAATCAAACACTCTCTCCACCGTTCTAAGCCATTCTACAAACTCATCAGCATCGAGTTTGCCATCATACTCCGGGATGTCAGCCTTAATGTCATTATTAGGCCGTGACCTTTCTCTTTCATGAAATGGTCTATCATTGTGATTGAAATTAGATTCACTCAATTCTTCATCACTATGATTGGGTGAACCCTCTTTTTGAAGGCGCAACTTAGTAGAAAGATCTTTCAACTGATCTTGCAAATATTGCATTCGTTGCTCCATATCTTCTTTCTCTTGTGCAACCTTATTGACATATTCTTGCCAATTAGGGGGTGGGATGTCGGACATGGTTTGTGTTTGGGGTATGTGTTTGGGTATGTGTTTGGGGTATGTGTTTGGGTATTTGTTTTGCTAGATCCCCCTCCTTCTAGCGCCAAATGTTGTATATTTGGAGTAACACTCGAAATACACAAGGGATAAACCAAGGGATAGTTAAGGCTAAAGAACCAAAGGCTTCTTAGATAAAGTCACACCACTAAGAAACTGTTTGAATTCCTAAGATCACAAGCCAACTAGTAGCCTAAACTAGTTAACTAAGCAAAGGAAATGAAATTCCAAATCCAAGAATTTCAAGGTTTTGTTTCTAATCCAAGAAACGAATGTAAGATATATTTTTTTTGTTTGAATAATCTGATTTTTTTCATTCACATTTGCTTGCTATTTATAGTAAACAAGCATCCTTAAGTACAAGCTAACTTAAGTGGCTGTTCAGCTCACTTGTTACACGCCTAAGCTAAAGCTAAGTACAAATCAGCTTTTTATTGTCTAGATACATTATTAAAAGAAGCCTTATTTAACTAGATACATCAAAGAGAAAATGGTGGCTTATAACCTCCAAATTAAGGCTGAAATAAAATCAGAATTAAGAGAGTGTAACTCCCCTTAATTCACGCCCATCCAAGCAGCAAGTTGGAGATGTATTTCCTCCAATTTTCACGCCCAAATTCAAACAGCAAAGAAGTGTAACTCCTCCTTGGTTCAAGCCTTGAAATTAGCTTGAATGTATGTGGACAAGGGTGTACTTGGACGCCCTTTAGTTGCTCCAAAAGCTGACTGAATTAAACAGCCAATTGAAGGCTGAAATTAAGACTTAAGATGCTCCGATGTTGACTGATATCAACGGCCACTTGAAGGATGAAGTTAAGGCTTGTAATGGCTTGTAATTCCTCTTTGAAAACTGATTGTAACTCCCAAGTCAAAGCTTTGAAATTCCTTGTAAAAGAATTTCGGATTCCAAGCTTAAATGGCTGCCATTTTGATGTATCTTTGTACTTGTACTTTTTTGTGAATGTGACAATATTTTTCGAACTAAAATCAGCTAAAAAGAACTAAGAAAAAGTATAACTAATTTGCAAACTTAAAATGACTAAAGTTTACAATTTAT